CTGACAAACCTTCTGTCTTAATTTGCCTAAGTCAGCCATATCTCGTTTTTGGTTTACAGGTGTAGGCCTGTAGATTTTTTCTTTTTAAATATTTCAAAGGGTCCATGGTAGTCTATTTTCGAGTCATTTAGAAGAGAAACAGGCCCACAGCATGATAGATCATCCACTGTACATAAGTTATTAGAATGTGTTTTGACTAAACCCAACTGTACTGTTTTTTACAGAATAATCCAGTTTAGCCCTGGTCAAGGTCCCAGAATTTGGCAAGCTACCCATATTTACACTGATGTTACATTTGAAAAAGCTGTTTCCTTACATGCCTCCAAAACAGTTCCTTAGTATTTAGATACTGTTGCAGCAACAGGGGATGTGGAGATATATTTTACATTCCTTAGCGTACTTTATCTGTCGTCCAGCCTTGTCATGCTAAGGTGATAGATAAATCCTTCAGCTGCTTCACCATAATGTTTTAAAATAATAACTTTAAAGCAGCTAAGATATATTGTGTCTTAACATTTATATTTGTGAGATAAAGTGATGCATTAATATTAGCTCAACTAAAAGCTAATATTAGTTTAGATTAGCTCAACTAAAAAAAACAGATTAACTTTGAGACCTGGAAAGTATAATTAGCTCTAAACTAAAGGACTGTCTCAGAAAATTAGAATATTGTGATAAAGTTCTTTATTTTCTGTAATGCAATTAAAAATCATGAAATGTCATACATTCTGGATTCATTACAAATCAACTGAAATATCGCAAGCCTTTTATTGTTTTAATATCGCTGATTATGGCGTACAGCTGAAGAAAACTCAAAAATCCTATCTCAAAATATTAGAATATTTCCTCAGACCAAGTAAAAAAAAAAAATTATAACAGCAAAACAAAATCAAACATTTGCAAATGTCCATTAATGCACTCAGTACTTGGTTGGGAATCCTTTTGCACAGATTACTGCATCAATGCGGCGTGGCATGGAGGCAATCAGCCTGTGGCATTGCTGAGGTGTTATGGATGCCCAGGATGCTTCAATAGCGGCCTTTAGCTCATTTGCATTGTTGGGTCTGGTGTCTTTCAGCTTCTTCTTCACAATACCCCACAAATTCTCTATGGGGTTCAGGTCAGGGGAATTGGCAGGCCAATTAAGGACAGTAATACCATGGTCAGTACACCAGTTACTGGTGGTTTTGGCACTGTGGGCAGGTGCCAGATCATGCTGGAAAATGAAATCATCATCTCCATAAAGCTTTTCAGCAGATGGAAGCATGTAGTGCTCTAAAATCTCTTGGTACACAGCTGCATTTACTCTGGACTTGATGAAACACAGTGGACCAACACCAGCAGCTGACATGGCTCCCCAAACCATCGCTGACTGTGGGAACTTCACACTGGATTTCAGGCAACTTGGATTTTGCGCCTCTCCAGCCTTTCTCCAGACTCTGGCGCCTTGACTACCAAATGACATACAAAACTTGCTTTCTTCTGAAAAGAGGACTTTGGACCACTCTGCAACTGTCCAGTGTTTCTTTTCCATAGCCCAAGTCAGACGCTTCTTCCGTTGTCTTGAGTTCAGAAGTGGCTTGACCATGGGAGTACGGCTATTGTAGCCCATTTCCCGGACACGTCTGTGAACATTGGCTTTTGATACCTGGACTCCAGCTTCAGTCCACTGTCTTTGAAGGTCCCCCACATTCTGGAAGCGGCTCTTCTTCACAATGCTGTTAAGGCTGCGGTCACCTCTCTTGGTTGTGCAGCGTTTCCTGCCACATTTACCCCTTCCAACACACTTTTTGTGAATGTGCTTTGAAACTGCACTCTGTGAACAGCCTGCTCTTTGAGAAATTTCTTTTTGTGTCTTACCCTCCTGATGGAGAGTAAGACACAAAAAGGGTGTGTGTGTCAATGATGGTCTTCTGGACAGCAGTCAGATCAGCAGTCTTCCCCATACTTGTGATTTAGTTTACTGAACCAAGCTGAGTGTTTTTCAAGGCTCAGGAAACCCTTGCAGGTGTTTCGAGTTAATCAGACGATTCAAGTGATTAGTTGAATAGCCTACTAGTATACTTTTTCACGATATTCTAATATTTTGAGATAGGATATTTGGGTTTCTTAAGCTGTACGCCATAATCAGCGATATTAAAACAATAAAAGGCTTGCGATATTTCAGTTGATTTGTAATGAATCCAGAATGTATGACATTTCATGATTTTTAATTGCATTACAGAAAATAAAGAACTTTATCACAATATTCTAATTTTCTGAGACAGTCCTGTACATCAATAGAATTGCTAGAAATTAGAAAGCAAGTAGAACTTGTTATTTTGAGGAATCATTCATTTTAAAACACGAGTTGTTTTTTTTTTTTTTTTGCTGCATTTGATTAAAATGAACTGAGATGAAAGTTGGACTTTTTCCAAAATCTTTAATCTGGGCTGATGACACTGCAATAAAATGAGGTTCTATGTAGAGGAAGTAGAAACTGTTCACTATTTGACTGATTTGACCTGCTAGGTTTTTGCAGAAGGATGCACTTTTTTATTTTGTTCCAGGAATCAATGGGAAAATTCCTCATTAAAAAAGGAAGCAGAGCTGCTGATTACAAAATGTACATAAAAAGTTTTTATCTATCGCAACAAAAAAAGATTTAATAATAAGCAAGGGTTGATTAGGGTGACTTTAAGAGGCTTTAAAATCCCAAGGTTAATTACATTGTAATTAGTTTGAGCATTCTGATTAATGAGGCATTTGTTAGGGAATTAGCTCAGCTCATGCACAAAATGGAGCCAGCCTGCAGTTGTGTTTAGGATGAAAAAGTTTATCTTTATTTTAGCAGAGTTTTTCTGCCTGATGTTTTGGATTAATAAGCAAACGGCAGAAATAAAGATTAAGCTCTGCGTTTGCAGTCATAACAGCAACATCAGCTGTGTCTTTATGTAAACCTGATCAGGTCGGCTGGAGCCTTTCTATGAAAAGTTTGAGGGCTTTCCCAGTATTCACAGTTTTATTTCTTCTTTTTAAAATTTCTACTGTTTATTTGTAGAACTTTGTCTAAATAAATTCCAGTACTCATCTTTTAGCCTCTTCTTTTTCGTTGTGTTGTGCAATTATTAGACAGTTTCTCTTCTTAGGGAGTGTTTGGAATGTAGAAAGTGTGGGAATTTTTAAAAATCATTTTGTTTTATAAATGTTCATTATATTATAAGACATATTTTGGAAGGTCTTATTATTCTTGTGGAATATTTTCAGTTGTTTGTGGATATTTTGAAGCTCTGTGTTTACCGACCACCTCTCATTAAATTCCCTCCAACAGAGCTTAAGACCTTAAAGATGTCACTCATGGAAATGTATTTTTCCATCTCCATCCTATTTAGTAAAAAATGATCTTGCAGAAAAGGGAAGCTGCTGCCAATCAAGTATTTTTCTTATCATGTTGGGTAAACATTTGGCAGAGTGTATCTGTGCTCCATCATTTCTGACATAATCCCTAACACTGACTGATATGTGGTCCAATCCATGACAGAAACTCCTTGTGTAATTTGACATACCCCCTCCAATCTCACCAATCCTGTAGAATCCCTTTTTGACAGCTAGTCGTTCACCAAGACCATTTATGATGAGGCTTTGGCAGACAGAAGATGGATCAACTGAAGGATGACCCCTCTCTCAGGATGTGTCAGAACTTTATACCTTTCCCTTTTCTCAAGGAGATGATTCTTTAGCCGTTTCTCTGCTGCCGATAAAGAAAACTCCATCTTATCCTCAAACAAACTTTCACCTTTAAGGACAAGGAAAGCTCCACCTTAACCATTAAACTGAGGGAAATATTTGTCATTTTAAATTTGTAAGAAAGAAAAATTGCCAATATACTAAAAGATGCTGCTTAGCAAACATAATTTTGAAAAACATTGGATCCAGTCAATCTTTAAAGGGATTTAAAATGAATATTGGATGAATGAAACCACAATGCTTATTCTTTTCAAATAAAAGGAGTTATACCCCTTTACCTTGGATTTTTTCAATTCTTATCAGATAATAGACAAAGGTGAAATATAAAATAAAAATCTCTGAATATATTTTACATAAATGATACACGTAATTTTATACCTCTTTGAACTTTTTTAGTTTTTCACATTACAGTGGCCTCCATATATTTAATAAACATTAAAAAAAGGAACACAGGGATCAAAATCTGGAGTAGTTTATACTAAGAGAGCTGGATATTTGGAAATAGTAATAGTATGGCACTAATAGGAAGCCAGAAACACATGGCCGCCCAAATAAACAAACAGATCAGGCATTGAGCAGAGAAACAAACTAAAAGTCCATGGTGGCTCCAGATACTGTAACTGAAGAATAATAACCTGTGCCCTCACAGCTAACATTGAAGAAAGTGCTCTGATTAGAGAACAAAAATATTATTTTGGTCTTTTCTTTTTAACACAATCCCCATGTTGCCTCGTGGTGGTAGCAGCATCATGATGTGGGGTCAGAGTTAATGGGAAGATGAATGGAGCTAAATACAGGACACTGTTGGAGGCTGAAAAAGGTTGGGGTGTAGATTCACCTTCCAGCAGGGCTACTTTAAACATTAATGTGTCAATTAATGTGTAATATCCTGTTAAAAAGTGATGCTCAAAGACCAGTCCCATCCAGTCTAACTATTACCTGGCAAAGAAGCAAATGCAAAAACATCTATGTGAAGACATAGAAAGCTGAATAATCCAGACAACATGCAGCTGTAAGTACAGCAAACATTTATTTTCCTTCATCTTCACATTCATGCACTGTTTTGTGCGGGCCTATCCAATGTAACCAATTGAAAAGGGTTAAGTTTGTAGTTTTAACAGCACAAAAAAGAAAATATATCAAAGGCATGAATATGTTTTCAAGCCACTGCGAGGACATGTTCAAGTTTCTCTGCACTGCAGATCCACATTTAATCTGAATGTTCTTTACACAGCCAGACTTTCTTTAAAAAAAAAAAGACAAGAGGGGACACATTGACCCAATCAGGTTGTTTTTTTATTTGGAACAGAGTGGCAGATTAGTGACAGGGCGGTGGCGTGGAGGATCCGCCTCCTCTCGCTCACTCAGCCAATGACAGAAACTCAGCCTTAAAAAAATGCAAATGTATAAAAACAGGAATGGGAACAGCAACAGAGAGGTGTAGCCTCCGATGGGCTTCACGCAGGCGCTCACACATCCGCACCCAGACTCACATATACACAAATATACCCTCTCTTACTCATACACACACTTATATTATTTGGCTACGCAGGCTTGGATGGGTACAAACGCACAACTTTTTTTTTTCTTTTTCGACAGTCACTTTAGAAAAGACAGTAAGTGTTTTTAGATCATTCCTGCCTGTGACAAAGTGGCGACCTCAACTCTCCGTCTGTCCAATGGTGCACAGACAGGTAGTGGAACACGAGAAGACGGTGAAGAGACACGGTCAGCGTGTGTGAGAGTCACTTTGAGGGCAAAGTCGCCCCACATTCAGCAGTGAGCAGACGAAACACATGCAAAACACCCACACACACCGGGACAGACTAGTGTCTGTACACAAGAGTCTGCCGTGAAATACCAAGGTGACGCACGCATACAGGCGAGGTGGTGGGTTCAGATGAGATACAGACACAAACACACACACACACACACACTGGTGAGGGGGGGAATTCAACACAGAAGTGGAGGAGGTGTGCTACCGTCTGTGGAAGAGCGTGAGAACTGCTGGAGTAGGTAAACACACTCCACCACGGTACATTCCAACTATAAAGCACCCCTCTTCAGTTTTTAATGCACAAACACACAGGAATCCTCACATACGCTCAGACAAGAATAACTCTGACTCCCATGCATTTGTTTTTGATCTACAGTACTGAGTATAAGAGAAGCTACTAGCCCAGACGCACTGGTGTGTGGTTGTTGTTACAATCTCTTAGACTGAAGGACGGATCTCTATGTCTGCCTTCGCTAGAAATAAAATGGTCCCTCGGCGGGTTAAGGTTGACCACTTTGTTCTAGTTAACAAAAAGTTTACCAATAAGATGATTTTGTTTTTTTTCATAGTAATTTTTTGACTCAGCTTAACTGTCACGCCTTTCATTCTCAAGCCGAACGCGATGCAAGCAAACGGCTTGGGAGGGCGGATTTTTTTCAGGATGACACAAAGACTGTACATATACAGCGCCTTGCAAAAAGTCATATCCATCAAACTGTTACATGTTTTATGATACCACCTTAAATTTATATGAGTATTATTTAGGATTTTATGTAGTAAACAGTTGGTCTGTCACTACTTCCAACCTGTGATGCGGCGGTCTACTCAAATCTACAGGCTAGGGAGAGATGATTAATCAGAGATTCAACCAAAATGCTTGTGGTAACTCTGGAGGAGCTGCATAAAGCTGCAGCTCAGGTGGGAGAATCTGTCAAAAGGATCAATTATGAAATTCTACACGACTGTTATGGAAAAGCGGCAAGGAGAAAGCCATTGTTGAATGTAAGTCGATGTAAAGGTGTGAATGATCATAACTTGATGTCTAATGCAACAAAATATACAACATATAAAATAAATATCCAGCTGTATGAAGACTTTTGCAAGGCTCTGTAATTGTGCTTCTACAAAACAAATTAAACCAATGGATCAGTAGCGTCACGTGACCTCGCTTTTGTCACTTGGAAGATGGCGGCGATGCGTGTTCAGATGATGTGGTCTCTAGTCATGGTGGTCTGCCTGTAATGCGCAGCTTATTTTATCCGTGTTTGCAGAGTGTGTGCGTGCACGCGACAAGAGCACAGCTCGTCTAAGGTGATGACTGATGTGACGGATTAACAAAAAAAAAAAAAAAGAATAAAAAAGATCATGCAGATGATTAGTGACGCCAGAAAGGATACGCAGATATTTACATATATACTTCTTACTCTTTTTAAATGCTAAATACAACATCCTCCTGTTTAAGGTTTTATTATTATCATCATTGTTATTATTATTGTTTTTATTATTATAATTATAACAATAATTCCTCAGCATTCAGCCCAAAAACATTGATATATTATTGATTATAATTATCACTATCAATAACTAGTCTTTGTACAGCCCAGAGGAGCAGAGGGGCCACCAGCTCGACGCGACTGAAACACACAGCAGCATTTTCTGGTTGACCGAGCAGAGCGAGAGGTCAGAGCCACCTTCAAGCAGACTCTGGTGTCCGTGTGCGGATGTGCGTGCACGTAAGCTTGTGTTTATGTCGCCGTGTGAATTTTTGAGCACCAAAATAGGACAGAAGGCACAAAAGACACCGTTCCTCTCCCCTTTGACCCTAGACTCTGCATGGCCAACCAGATGCTCGGTGTGGGAGATTGTTTCTTTTGTTTTGCTTCTGGGGAGATAAGGGGGAAGAGTCATCTCCCCCTGTTAGATCTTGGCTTCCTCTTCTAACCCCCCCTTCTTCTCCTCTTTATTTTGTATATGCCCTATAGAAACAGAAGAGGAACTTTATTTTTTGTTTGATTGTGCTGGAAAACACATAGTAGGGGATTTTTTTGTTGTCGTTTTGTCTTTTTTACAAAATAATGGTTTCATCATCACATACAGAAACAAGAATCTGAAGAATATTAATAACAACAGTTACTTTAAAAACATCTTGTGTGTATGTGTGATTTCTCTGAATATATTGGATTTTTTTGTCCTTTTTTTGTCCTTATTTTTCCATTTTCATTGAAAAGAAAGTCCCCAGAGAGAAGGCGCTCTCAAACATTTTGGAGACGAGAGGGGAGGAGCAGGATGAGGAGATGAAGGGGCGAGTAGAAGCAGTAGTAGAAGGAGAAGGAGGGGGGGCTTTAGAGTATATTTCTCTTTCTTCTCTCACTCTTTCTCCCTCCCCCCAGCCTGGTGTGAAGTGCGTCTTCCCAGCATCTGAAGGGTTATGCGTAAAACTCCTCCTGCTTGTCGGGTTTCTGGTAGGTGACCGTGGCCTGTTTGGGCTCCTCCAGCGTGTAGCTGCCCTCGTCCTTCTTCTTCATCCTGTAGACCAGCAGCATCACCAAGAAGGCGGCGAACAAGGCGCCCACCACACCTCCCACAATCACAGCTGAAGCAAAACACAACAAAAAAGGAAATGAGTCATTTCAGAGATAATGGCTGCACCTTCTGAGATTAGGCTACTCACGTCTATACTAACAGCACAGCAGATCTACCACAGCATCACAATCACCTTGCTGCTAACTGAAAGCTGACGAGCCCCGGTGTGCCAGTATTTATTCTCCGCTGCAGTAGCTCTGTGCTAAATTGCATTTCTCGTAGTTTAACTTAATGGGTCTGGTAATTTATTTGATTCAGGATCCTCAAATCAATAATTCTGCCGAGAGTAAGAGATAAATGTTTGGTTGACAAGATGGTCAGAAACTCCCCTCCTGTACGTAGATCACTTTGCGACAATTTTATGAAAAAAAATATAATAAATTGTGCTAATATTTAGTGTGAATCTTGTTTCTACTCTTAAGATGCCAAACATTGCAAAGTTTAGGTCTGCAACAGCTTTTTAATATTATCGGTTTTTTAGTGGCGTCACAAAGGAAGTAATATTACATATTTAACAACTGCAGCTCAAAATAGTCTGACTGCTTATTTGCAGCTTTAGCCAAAATGAAGTTGAGGCCTACCATCAGCCACATCATAAAGCTGATGAGGTTATCAATTAGTTTTATAACTAAAGACTATTTATGTTTTTTTTTTTTTTTATCTCAACTATATTTGATCGTCGCTAATCCCTGCTAATCCCTGATTAATGGATAAATGTTTCTTACAGAGTTTTAGTAAAATAATAAATAGTTCTCTTTTGAGAAATTAAAGATTTCTTTTTAATTGCTGGTTTCCTGGACCATCAGTATTTAAACTTAGTCTACACTTTTTTTTTTTTTTTAGAGGATTAAAGTTAGGAATTTTTTAAAAGATTGCTTTTAGCTGTTCTTATTCATTCCCAAACCAGTTTTAATGTTTGTGCTGGAACATTTTCCTGAAAACAAACCAGCCAGATTCCAACTATCTACTTTAGAGGCTCTAGAGCTGCTGTCCTGCTACCTCCAAGTCAATCAATCACCTGAATTAAATGAACTGGTCTGAAGTTGAAGAACGAAAATCTGACAACCAGATTAATAATTTCAAGATAGACCTTAATTCTTATGTTTCAATCCACTTTGAGCAATGCATCAGTAACCATAGCAATGGAAGATACCCATGGCATGATGCTACCTCTATGCTAGACAGTTAGTAGTTAGGTTTTTAAGGCTAATTTTAAGCCTAACTCATCCAAAAAAAAGCTCTTAGTCTCTGACTTTGGGCCTCTCCTTGTGAGCGGCTACCTGCGGGTGTCCGCCTTAATCGGAACCATTCCGCCCACAGTTTGTATTACAGGGAAAGTTTTCAAAAGCATTGCAACAGCTTCCAGTTTATAATGACATTCAGCCTTGATGGCTCCTGTGTTGTTCTTAAATATAGTATTAGCATCTTTTGACATGGGTGTTTTTCTTTAGATAAGGAAAAACAAATAACTTGGACGCAGTGGAGTGTTCTAACAGGATACTGATCCAAATCAACAGGTCAAAGGTTGCCGACAGCTCCAACTCTCAAGCTTCAGTATATGAGAATCCATCCTTTAAGACCAAAGCGCAAAAAAATTGACTCTTCTCTGTGTAGACATGGTCTTATTTTTAAAAGGGCAGCTAAAGATATTTATTAATACATGCATTCTATTAGATATTCAGTTTGATTATCTTCAGTCTCTTTGATTTGTTGTCTTCATCAATTTCTTTTACTAAATTCATTCAATTATGAACTAGTTGAATCATTTTTGTGTTCAATTCCTTGAAGCACTACACTGATTTTTATCTGTAAACGCTGCTTTATAAATAAACATTGACATGCTTCATACTGACCTTGCATGGATTAGAAACAAAAAAGAAATTCTGACCTGTTATCCTCTTTTTAAAGCATGTATATATTGGCATTATAAACTAAAACTAGAACAAAATGACCTCTAACTTAACAAATTGTTTCGAAATCATTTGAATCTTTATTTCCTGTATGCATCACAGAGGCATTGAGGAAGATTATCTCTACATGGAGAATTTCTCTTCTTCTGCTAAAGCTAAAAATTGGAACACCAGACCTCTAATCTTTTTTTACTGAATCATAGTTGATTTATTTAGTGGATGAGATTAAATAGGAAAACTGTTTGGAGGAGCCAGCAGTTTGGAAAAAGTTCAAGGCTGCACAGGTTCACCAGTACAATCTCAGAGACAAGTCCCAATAGGACAGAAAGGCAAAGAAAAAAAAAAGCACCTGTCCTGTTTAACTACTGCAAAAAAAGATCCTGTAAACTAATACAGATAGCTCTACGTCAAGCACACAGTCTAATCTATAATCTGTTGCCTCCTGCTCTTTACCGATGACCAGGAAATCAGCAAAAACCACCGCCACCAGTCCACCAATCAGAAGAGCTGAAGGAGAGACAGAGAGCCGGTCAGGCAAGTTGGCTGCTTCAGCAGTTTCTACAGCAGCTATTTGGGAGATATTAAAGGGGGAGATTGCTTGAAAAGAAACAAGATTTGGCCAAAGGGAAAAAGCTGTGAAGGGAAAGGAAGGGCTGGATAACCCAGCAGGAAGACTTCTTGTTCTCAGTGGATTGAATGGGTTTGCAGCACATAGGTGGAAGCAGGTAATGCTAGTTTATTTGAGCAGCCCTCAAGAAAAAGCAGAAAAAGAACACAGGAGGCAACAGGTGATTTACTGAAGGTAAAAGGACCAAACCTCTAATATATTCTCACCTATTAGAACCTCTTTCCTCTCCAGGATGTTCTTCTGTGGCATCTGTGCAGCAGAGCTCTCTCCATTCACCGTGTTCCCGTTCAAGTCGGGCTCCACCGGCGGTAAGCCTCTACCCAGACCGTTCCGTTGATCTTCCCTGATCTCTGAGTCACCGCTTGGGCCTGCAGGGCCCACCTCATTCCCCTCCTGAGACAAAGACAGAGAAGGAAAACTTAGCAGGAAACTTTGATGGTTTGATGTAATTAAACTTGTCCCGCAGAGCCGCTGCCCTGAATCTTAAAACCCACAGCAGCCTGGAGAGAGTTTTCCATGACAGACACTGGCGTTTACAAACAATGACTCTCTGTATGTTCTGAACAGTGGAAAAGAGGCTTCCTGTCAAACAAATATATACACACACTTCATAAAATGCGGCAGCTTGATTTGTGATGTGGGAAATTATAGAAGCATCATACTGCAAAGCAGCTCCACTGGAAATAAACAGGTTTAATAAAAGACATGATGGCGGTGTGCAAATAAATTCAAAATATCAGGTGGAAGGGCAGATTTTTGCAGGAACAAACAACCGGTACTGTAGCACAGAGTTCATCAGAGCTAGTTTGAATTATTTACTCTTAAACTCAATGTTCAAGAGGAAACATCAAGAGAAGATGAGATCAGCATCATTTGATCACTGTAAAAACCAATGAAGGAAATGCATAAACAGATATTGGCTGTTTACATGTAGCCTGATCGGGACAATTCAAGACAAATTCTTTTTCATAAAATAAATGAGCCACATGTTCATCTATCACTACAGTCATTAGCACTCCAAGTTTCCTTTTGTCAATCATAAACCCACACATCCTTCTGCTGTATGCATTTTTTTACTCTCTAAATGTCCTCATATACTCCCAGCAGGAATCTTGTACTTTATTCACGTTTTGCCATATGACAACACACCTACATTATAATTTATTGGCTTTTTACTTGGTAGATTAACACAAGAACCACATCATCGTTCAATGAAATGGGATGGATGCTTTACTTTCTTTTTTTTGTGCACAAATAAAAATCCTTAAAATTGGGGCATGCCTTTGTATTCAGCCTACTTGAGTAATCCACCTCTTGCTGCATTTGCTGCTGCAAGTCAGTTTTAGGATACGTCTCTGCCTTTACTGTTTGCCAATTTTTTTAGTTTCAAAACAGCTGCAACTTAGCTAGATTTCAACATCTTTAAACATCTATGTTCAATAGTTACCAGTTTCTGGACTTCGGCTGCACTATTCTGTTTTATCAATCATAGCTCTGGATGCATGTTTGAAATTTGGCCTCGATCTCAACTCTTCTGCAGCCTCTTGTTGTCCATCATGGTCGTCTTTCTATTCACTCTGACCAGCCACTGTCATCCAACGTGTTTCATAATTTTGGGTGCAGTATTTTTCTTGAAAATGTGTTTGTTTTAAGCCTTGATGTGCTTCCTTAACTTTATAGCTTTCCTTTTTGTTTGAGCAGCCCTTTACTGTGTTTTTAGATCAAATTAGTGCATTACCTGCTGGAATATTTTGTTATTGTCATTACACTGTCACAAGTACAGAGCAACTAAATGAACTCTGTGCATTTAACCCATCCCCTTGAGGAGCATTGGGCTGCCATTTTGTGGCGCCCGGGGGGTCTTTGCTCAGGGAGTCTCAGAGTGGCAGTCCGTGGAAGTGGGGCTTGAACCCAGAACCTCTGGATTCCAATCAGAATGCCTCAACCACTAGTCCGCCACTCCCCACAAACAAGCTACTTACAAATCGGTTGATTACCAAAAATATATTCATCATGTTTTTGGCTCTTGAGCAAAAAATGTGTTTATTTCCAGTTAGTGTAGCTTTGATTATAACCAGAGGTGATGCTTTCATCTTTCTATTATTAGATTTAAAAGACAGATTCTTACCATAGATGGCCAGATGGGCTTGCATTTTTTCTTTTGGTATCAATAATATGTTTTAATGATTCTCCATCTCATCCAGAAGATCATTATATAGAATGATGCCACCAGCGCAGAGCTTAAAACCTGGCAACAGGTGGGTATAAGTGAGATATTTGCCACGATGGGCAGTAACTAGATTTATTAAGCTAGTTTATTCATTGGTTAGCTGCTTTTTGGAATGCCTGTGTTCTTCTATTTATCTCTTGTGACTTTTCTTACCCCTAAATGCTCCTCCTGGTCCACCAGGGGAGACAGTCTGGCTGATTCAAAGCAGAACTGAGAGAATGATGAGGATTTGAAATCATTTAAACCAGCAGCATTTCTAGCCTGACTGACTCTTAAAAATAAAAAAACGTGTTTCCAAAGTTCTCAGGCTGGAGTTGCGGTTGCATCTTCCGCCTTAATAATCCTCCCACCCAGCTCATCAAGCCGCAGCACTGCAACCACTGTCAAGCTCTCATTACATTAGAGGCACCGATTAACAGATGCAGAACTTGTAAAGTGAACCACGGAGGCCGGATGTATGAGCAAAAACAGACACACAGCAGGGTCATTTAGGGGAATATGAAAGGTTCATGTTTTAAATGTGTACTGTGAAAACTGATTTTGATGAAATAAAAACCAGTAGAGCTTTAAAATCTAAGAAAGAACATTTGCTTTTAAATAACAACCTAAATAATTCTCAAAGCCTAAAACTAAATGTGTTTTGTAATAGCATAGCATATAACTTCTCTGCCATGCAGAATGCCTTTCTGTTGATTTTAATACTTTATGAATTACACTGTAAATAATAAGACATTTTGATGAAGAGTTTTAGAAGATGACAGCAATGGAAGAAAATCTGGGAATGAAATGATTGGTTGGTTGATTTATTCCTTCAGTTTGGCAGCACTGAGTGCAATAGTGTAGATGGACGGGCCTACTGGGTTTCACTCTGCTTAGCAGCAAATGCTGAAACCTCAAGTACAGTTTGAGATTTACTTGCAATCATTTGGATTTGTAAATATACAGCAAAAAAACAAAAACAAATGACTGAAACATGAAAATAAAGCAAAGTGAAATATATAAATCATATAATGAATAACTCAAAGATCTTTTCTGTCGGTGTAAAGAAAAGTTATGTTGTCGTTTTTAAAGAAAATTCTATTTTAATTAAATTTAAGAGATTAAAATAAATATTAATCATAGAAAATCTAAGAAAAATGTATTTGCTCCTTCTTCCTAAAACTGAGGGGTCAACATTACCGCAGCACCGCTGTTGGCAGTATGGGCTAAAGCAACAACAGATTGCCAACACCTCTTTCCACCTCTGATTTAAATCTTATTTTATTTATTTTATTTTCTTCAGCTATATCATGAAAAGGTGATTGTGTTTTGACAATCTAGATGGTTGTCCACATGTAAAGGATCTATTCCTAATAGAGCCGTTCTTTAAATAATTAATATGGGATTGAATCTACAGAGCTTCCCATTTTTCAGATATTTGTGACATTTTGAAAAATCCCCATAAAATTCTCCAACAAATCTGTGAGCCCAGAGACTAGTTGTGCTAATTCTAAGATTTGCATATTTAGTTACTTCTAAAGGAAGCTTTTTGCTCTGGATTTTCTAGAGGGGCATCAGCATAAAGGGGGATTGACACAAATGCATACCACACTTTTCAGATTGCTGAATATAAGGCAATTTTAAAAATCTTTACCCTTCTCATTCTACTTCATAATTATAAACTAATTTATGTTGGGCCTTTCACATATAATCCCAATAGAACCTACTGTGGTTAGGGGTTTTAACATGCTGATAAGTATAAAAACTTTGGAAGAGCTTTTGGAAGGCTCTGCATCCTGCTGAATATAAACATCTGTAGAAGTGGGCAATCCAGAGTCCTGATGGGCGTTTCTGCCATGAATAATATAGGTCCAGAGAGAAAAAACCCTGCTTAGTTTTCCTTCATCCTGTTCACTTTACCAGGTTGCTCTGTAGTCTGAGCAGATCCGTGCATTTGGAGATGATTCAGTACCCACAGAAAGTTCAAGTGTGCTCCGCATCTTAAAAGATGAATGATTTGGGTTGTTTCCCACCTGTGGTGTTGTAGGCGGCTCTGGGCGCGTCGTTCTTTCTGTCTGGACTCCCTGAGTAGGCCGTGACACTGGAACCCTTGGCCTGAAGGGGGTTCTGGTCTTTAGGGTGGTTGCAGCTGTGGTGGTGGTGGTGGTGAGTACAGGTGTTGTGGGCTCGGGTGTGGTCTCTGCTATGATGGGGACATCGTCCTCTGTGGTGGTTTTCAGGTCAACGCCGGGGTACTCTGAGGTGGGTTCGGGTGACAGATACACGTCGTCTTCATCTGGCTCTGGGATGAGCAGGTCTTCTGAACCAGCAGAGGGTCCTGCACTCTCCACAGCACTGGTTGACAGGCTGGTGGTGGACATTGGGAAGAAAGCAGGCGACCGAGGGGCAGTGGTGGTCTGAGCCGCCCTGATTCTCTCCAGCTCTCTCTGCCTCTCCAGCTCTCGCTCCCTCTGCCTCTCCCGTTCCCTCTCCCGCTCCCTCTCTCTCTCCCGCTCCCTCTCTCTCTCCCTCTCTCTTTCCATCTCCTTGATCCTCTCTCTTTCCCTTTCCCTTTCCATCTGTCTCTCTATCTCTAGCTCCCTTTCTCTCTCCTTCTCCAGCTCCCTCTCCACATAGATGCCGCTTTCTCCCTCGGCCTCAGTGGTAAGCACGGTAAAGGCAACATCATCTGGGCTGGGACTGGGCTCGGCTGCAGGTGAGGCAGAGGGGGCGGGGCTTGTTGCCTGGGTCGTGGAGAGGAGGAGGGGCTCCTCTGTGGTGAAGGTCACACCAGTTGTCTTCGGTCTCAGGCTGATCTCTGAGTCTGAAAAAGGAGAAGTGAGAGGGCCTTTGAATTATTTTAGGAAACAGACAGACCATTTCCTCCTTACAGCTTTTTGGAGGCAAAAAAGTGGATACGAATTTTACATTTAGGTTAACAAAAAGAATGTCCCCAATTTGCTTATTAATAAGCTCATGACTTAACTTTATTATTAACATTGCATTGCATTATATTGTTCTGTATTCTTACATATATATATATATATATATAAATATATATATATATATATATCTTATCTTACTGTATTTTGTTTTTTGTATTAACTGTAATGTATACCAATGTCATTCGATTGATCTGTATTTTTTATTTCTGCTGGAATTTTGATTTTACCTATGGTAAAATCCATCCATCCATCCATCCATCCATCCATCCATCCATCCATCCATCCATCCATCCATCCATCCATTCATCCTTATAAAAGTTCATGGGGCATTTTTCCCTATATTGTAGATTTCCATAAATATTTTTGCCACTTATGGTCTGAAAAATTTGCTGTGGCTCAAAGTCTCTTATATTTCCTCTTCCTGTCTGTTCTGAATAAACCTTTATAAGAATTTTATGGCGATGCACTTAAATGCAAGATGGAAACTATAAGTACAAAAAAAAATAAAATTTCAAGCAGGTTAGGGATTAAAAAAGGGGTACAATTTTAATTGCACTTTCTAAATGTGAAAACATTTATAGAAAATTGCAGAATTTATATGACCTTTTTTAACCTTTGCTTTGGTCAAAGCAAAACCAGTGAAGGGAAAAACTGATCCATACTCTGGGTGAAAATTGAAAGTGTGTCCATAATGCAAATATAACTCAAAGTTTGAGCAAAAATAGCATAGAAACCAAAAACCACTGCTAACTGAAAAAAAATAAAATGATCCCAAGACTATGCGGAAATGAGTTTAGTGATACAACACATTTCTGGGAAGATTTTCATTGCATCTATTAGATACAATACAGAGTCCATCTCTAAATGGCTTCAAAATACACAAAATGAAAGTTTTAAGTAAAAGAAAGTGATATCAATCCAAGTTAAATGCTTTGGTCTAACCTTGCACAGGTCGTCAATAATTTTTAAATTAATAAAAACTCAGCTCAACACAAATTGCTCCACAGCAAAGCAAAAGACTGATTACCAGCAGTCCCAAGTGCTTGATAATGGTCATTTCTACCAAGGGTGAAAAAACGCTTGTTATTTTTAAGGGTCTTTTTTTATAAAGGGTTGGGTTAGGTATTTTTCTAATTTTAAGTGAAATAATAATTTCGAAATAATGTTTCTATAACTGTGCTACACGTATGCATGGTATTAAAATTTGCTTGGTCATCTAAATCAGGTAAGTTTAACAAAAAAAAAAGCAAAGATGAGCATACCAGGTATCTTTACGGTTACCTTTATAGTAAAGATCTAGGAAATAATTGAACCTTTAATATTTTTACACTAAGTAAGGCATTTGGGGTCACCAAGTTTCTGTACAATAGTGTTTTTTTTTAAGGCTTCTAATAATATATTTAGCAGAGGTGCAAACAAATAAGTGTAAATGAGACCATGTTTGCATCTCAAATTCTATTGGAACGCGTTTTGAACCACAGATAAATCCATACTCTGGCTCCTAGTGCAAGCAAGCATAAAATATAGACATTTGACCAAGTTTCAGTTTCTGCATCGTATTACAGGCACTTAAAACACAATATGTACATATTTCAGGGCTCTGTAATTTATAACATTCTATAAGTCAATAAGTCCAAAAGTTTTATAAAAGCTGGCAACACAGATTTTTTTTTTTTTGTACAGGTTTTAGCATTGCAGATGCAGATGCCCAGAGTAGGATGTTTTTTCACCCTGGTCAGCTCTGAATTTAGATCTGAATCTACATTTAGATTCAAATTTTAAAAAAAAATTTTTTTTTTTAACTAAAAGTTTGTTTTCTGTTGAGAAATGAGTTACGGATCTTCAAAAGATAATAGAACAATATCATAGGAATGTCATATCTGGGGGGTAAAAAAAAGTTTTAATCTTTTTTCGTTTTTTCCTTTTTTTTTTTTTTTGGAAAATATATATTGACATTAACCTGACAAGTTACAGTAATAATGTGAAGCAGTCAGGATTCGGCGAGAATTTAGCTTGCAGGCAAGGTTGTATTGATTTTAGAGCAGTCAAACCCTTCTTCTAAATGCTGTCCAGCATTTTGATATTCACTGTTTTTTAATGATTTCTCTCTGGAGATGAGCTCCAAGTATTTCAGATTGTAAAATCTCCAAGCAGTCAGCCTAATCTTTAACGCCCTCCACAGATACAAGTCAGGGCAACAATTTTACTTCCAATCAGAGGAAAAATGTTTTTTTTAAATCTAAAGATACCTTTAAACAAAAACCTGCCATGGATATGAATAATTTAAACCTGCCATAGGTATGAATAATTTGAACTGCTAAAAAACAATAACATTTGTTTTTGAGTACTTCAGACATTCTGTCTTTATTTTAAAAAGGTAAAACTCAATGAAATTACTTTTAATATTCTTGCAGGAGGGAATAGACATCGGAGAAATTAGCTTGTTCAAAGCGCAATATCAACCAGAAATTTTACGTCGGAAGCAAAATTATGATTGGATTTAATATTTTACTAAATAGAAAAAAAAAGATCATGGTTAACACTGGGATGATCCGAAGTGACAATCATCTGTTGTCATCTGACAACATGGACTTGTATAAATATCTCAGTTTCTATCAAACCGAGCCCCTCTAAATGTGAATTGAAGCGTCTTTGCCTTTCTAAGCAAGCTAATCTTAAATGCCGCTGTGCTTAATGACACCAGCACCGCGGGGAGGTTTGTGTTGTCAGATCACTTAAGAGTGAAATGATGACTTTGACATGGCAATCGCAGCCACAATGCATTTCTTTTCCCCTCTTATTTAGCTGACGGATGGCAGGAAATTATCCCAGTACATAGAGTATAGAAAGTTCAGCTGGGGTAAAACCTGAATAATGAAAAGAGTTGGAAAAAAATGGATTAGAAATATACAGCTTTGTGTGTTCACCCTATTGGGTATTTTAAAAAAAGTTTATTTTTTGTTTCTTCTGTTACTTAAAAAAGATTTTTTTTGGTCAGTCAATGTGGATGGAGAACTCTAAAAGGAGTACCTGTGATGTATGCCATTTATATACATGAAGTGCATTTTCAGAAGGAGAACAGAGGAGATGAGCAGAGCTGTGACTCATAATATTATTACTCTGCCTTTCATTCAGTTTGCAGTGAAGCTCCTTGGGTTGAAAGAGAAGCAAATTGAATTTGCAGACACAAAGACGCGAAGGCTGTCAGAAGAACTGGAGAGGATATCGGAAAACGGAGTCCGACAATGTGTCTTATGTTTAATTTATTAGAAGCCACAAAATACCTCCACTGAAGCAGCAGAAGGAGACATTAAACACATTTTTGTCCGTTAAAAGCGAAAGGTTCAAATCTACATCACGGTTTTAGATAAAGCAATTTGCTGGGTTGCTGTTTCAACCACAGGGGGTGCCTCCACCATTCTCCTTCGGCCTGAATTTGATTTATTACATGCCCAACCACCAGCGCGGTGCCTCAACTGATGACAGCCTTTAATGAATGACCCTTGATAAGAGGACGCCGTCCACAAGCTTCAAAGGCCAGGTCAGAAAATCAGGCTGTTGCCCCAATGTGATTTAGGTTAAGCAGGTAATTCCCAAACACGCAAACTAGCTGCTCTCCCCGAAGATGACATACGCTGGCAGGTAGTTGCTTGTGATTGCCTAATCTGTGTGGACTGTAATCCGATTAGAGCAAAGAAGATCTCTGAGAATCGACCCTGGGGTTAGTGGTTGTTTGCAACAATATGCCTAAGAGTGTTTCCTTCAAATCTGTATCCTGTAGATCCAAACACTTGTGGAGGAACTTCACGTTTTGTTTATTTTGCGATCAGAAACTTCTGTGCATTTTACTGGAGATGTACTGTGCATTTGCTTTCAGCCCCATGTGTCAAAACTACTGCAGCTACAACTGAAGGTCCTTTGGGGAATGTCTCAACCAGCTTTGCACATCTAAAGACTGACATTTTTGTCCACTTTTCCTTGCAAAACAGGTCAAGCTCTGTCAGACAAAAAGGAGTTCCAGAGGAGTGATTTTCTTGCCATAAATTCTGCGCATGTGCTTCAAAGAACACATCTTATTTTGACTCCTGTTGTAGGTTTGATGTCGTTGTCCTACCAGTATCCCCAATGCATGATGGTGCCATCGCTATAATGTATTTAGCAAGACATGGATTGATAGTTACACATGCCACATGTAGTTAAACCTGACAATATTTATTCTCATGGCAGATTCAGATTTAAAATCATTGTTTAATTTGCCAAACATTGTACCTCTGACTAGAAGTAATTTTACTTTTTAAGTAGCGAAACTGCAATGGGGGGGTGATGATTAGGGTGATGGCAAGGAGGTAATTTCAACGTCAAAAGGGTTTAAGAATTTTTAGTTGATTATGGATAAAACAGTTTTTGAAATACCATTTCAAAAATTGCAGAAATGTTGTTATCAAAATGAATATTTCCTTTGTATTGTTTAAAGGCATAGAAGATAATCTTTTATTTCCGGGTGGATCATCTTAATAAGTGGTCCTCCTAATTGTCAATCATTTTGGTGATATATTTACATAAGGCTACGTGCAGCTTGTTTTAATATTTCCTATCAGCAACCGAAATCTCAGATGAAAAATATATAATTACAAGTCTAAATCTGCCAGAAGTATAAGTAATTCTGGGGTTCCTCTTATGTATTGTGCAAAACTGCGACCCAACCAAACACACATCCCACTCCATCCAATCCAATCCTTACTGCAGAGGCGACCGTAGGAGTTTCACCCTCCTGCTGCAAAGGTTGGAAAGAAATAAGGCAGAAACCCTGCAGGCACTCCCTTTCTAGTCACCCAAACTGCACAAACCCACCAGGCTTACATTTTTTTTCTCTACATGAAGCATGGTTAGACTTTATTTGATAAAAAAGGGGACTTCTGACAATCACAGGTTGCCCTTTATTTTATTTAGTGTTTAGAACTACAACCTGTTTGTCTATTCATTAAATAAAATCTCCTTTAGCTACACTGAATTTTAATGAGAGAAAGTTCAAGAGGAATATATTCATGTTTATGAGGTGCCTGTCTGTGCCATGAGGGACAGCGAGCTGAAGTGGAAGGGGGGTGGCTGGAGGCTTCGGGGTCAGTAGATTGAAACCAAGCAGCTGTCGAGGTTTGAAAGAGCCAGGGCATGAGTGCGTAACCTTCGTTCACAATAACACCGACGCAGACACACTTACAGCCAGAGCCAGAGCCCGAGTAGAGGTCCTCGTCATCGTAAAAATCATCTCTCGTCGAGCCTTCGTCATCGTCGGACTGAGGCCACGTCTGCGCCTGATGGGAAGACAGAGAGGGAGGGAGGTGCAAGTGACAAAGATTAGAGCTGTTCGTCACGGAGAGCCAAGCTGTTCTTCAGTTTATTCGAAAGAGAAACCACTTTGGCAGATTACGTCCACACACAGACGCACGCAGCTGTCTGAGAGGAGGTGCGGGCTGCATTATATGCTGGACAGGGTAACATCTGTCAGTCCGTGGCTCTCTGGAGGAGAATAGTTAATGAGTTGATCTAAAGCTGGGATTCTGGCAGGGAAACATCAAAGGTTTTTTCAGGGGGAAAAGCAAAGGAGAGGGGGTTTGGTGAGACTCTGCTTGTAAGTGATGCTCAGACTGCAAAGCACCAAAGGACAGGGCTGTATTTCAATTCTGAGGTTAGCAGTTTTTTTAGTCTAAAAGGATACATGAAAACAGTTAATATGATATAACAAATATAACAGATACTAGAAAACTAGCTATTTTTTCTAATTCAAATTGACTATACATTTAGGCACTGGGCATTTTGAAAATCCTGCAATTACCATACATTTCTACGAGAAAAAAATTAACTCTTTCCAGACAGAATGTATATATCTTCATTAAAAAGAAGAGCAGAAGTTTTATGATCTCTTTCTATACAAAAAAATTGAGGGCTTTGTTGATTAAATAAAAATAATTGAAAATTGTTAAATCTCACATTTAAATTTATACTCTGAATATTTATGACAACCCTTTCAATAATAATGGTTCTGTTTCCTGACTCTCATGCAATATGAGAAATTATGATCATAATAACAGCTCTATGAGCAGATAATTAAAATCATAACCTCAGGTATGAATGGTTCCCATGGCATTTATCAGTTGATGCATGGTTACACCCTTAACCCAAAACTATTTGCTGCCTTACAGATTTCTGACAGATTTGTCACAATAACATGTTTTAGGTTAAACTTTTTGACTTTCCAATAAGGAAAACCAGAGGAAACACAACATTTAGTTTTCAAATACTTGTTTGTTTGAGGGAAATGATCCAAAAAAATATGGCTCAATGTTTAAAAAGTTACTAAACAGCCACTCAATCTGTTAGGGGTCCTACAACAGTGATTTATCCAGGTCCATACTTTGACTAGGCCACTCCAAATTTAGCATTTCTTAATGGCGTTTCTGGTGTGCTTTGAATTAAGTGTATCTCGCTACAGACCCCAACCCCATTTGCTCAGATTTAGCCTTATAAACTGTTGGTTCACCATTTTTCAGAGTTTTTAAGAGTAAAATCCATTATAGCATTAATTATGGCACCTTTTAAAGCAAAAGAGCAGCTCCACATCATACTATCACCATGGTGGTAGTGTTGGTTTATTGCTTATTGTTTGCTGTGTTTTTATTTAGCTGCTGTTTTAAGCCCATTTCAGGTTGTTATAAATGCTATTTTGACATTAATTCTTCCTTTTATGGGTCTGGTTTAGAAGGAGATGTACCTGTTGTGTAAAGATAAGACTTTCATGGAGCCAGATTGGTATAAAATACTTTTTTTTTTTTTCTCACTTCAAATGAAATCATGAACAATGATGGCCTGTTTTATAAACTCTGGTTATCTTTGCCTGAAGACTGTTTGACGATCTGAAATTTTTAAGTGCGACAGTGTGAAAAGGAAAAAGAAACCTGGAAGGCAAAATATTTTCCGCAGCTCTGCATGAAACAAAAAGAGCTGCAAAGGGACAATATTGTAACAGGGATAGCAAAAAATACTTTTTTTATTTGTTTTCTAAATATCTAAAAATCATTACACTGTTAGTTCCTTTTCTTAAACAAGCAAAACATTCAAAACACAGCTACATGTGTATTTTAGGAATGTGTTTTTAAGGAAATATGTAAATTGTTTAAATGTGGTTGACAGATTGTTGGGGTTGTTTTAATGTTTGAACTTATTTTTCTGGGCTAAATACCAAAAGGAACAGCCTGTCCTTAAATATGCATAAAAAACAGATTTGAGTCCATTTGGAGGGCAAGTGGTTTTGCTTGCTTTAAATCCCTTAAAATACAAACAAGGAGCAAAAGGTGAATCCAGGGTATGAGACATATTTTCTAGCTAAACAGGTAATCAATGAGTTAATCACCCAACAAATTCAACACAATGAGAGTCTTTAGGGTTTTACCACACTACTGAGGTGCTAGCTACAGCACTCTGAATGCTCAGGAATAAAGGCATCTGAAATGCAAACAATAATGAAAGATAAATCCCAAGAAGATTTTCACAAGTCACCATGATCAGCTTTATCAACAACTATTAAGACATCCTGTACAAATAAGATCAAACCAACTAAAGGAAATATTAAATTTACAGAAGATGTCAGAGATCCGTTCACTGATACAAGGAAAATAAAACCAATCTTTTCGCTTCATACAACGTATTTTTGCCTTAATGTTTAGCTTGAGAATGCATTGACATCTTTAAAAAAAAAAAATAAAAAATACTTGCTGTACAGTAGAGATTAGATTCAGTCAGAAATGATTCCACCCAACCCCCCTTGCGGGGGTCAGGCAGGGGGTAATCGAGGATCGCTCTGATATTTGAATCTCTGAGAGGGATGACCCCATATTCTCAAACATTACGAAGTTGATCCCTCCTCCCTCCTCATTCATCTCTCTCTTTTTCTCATGACCTTAATCCTAGATCTCTGCGATATTTAACACACCCTTCAGCGCTCAGAGGCTTTTCTCATCACAGAGGGTCAACTGCTGCCGCCGCCGCATAACTGCTGCTGTGCAATGAGAGATCCCAAATGACAGAGCATGTAGAAATCTGTGTTGACAGTTTTTTAATTGTATTCAAGGTCACAAAGATTATTTTTAGAAGATTCGTCTCAGTACGAGGAAAGATGTTTTCTGTCTATCTGTTCTGAACTACAACTTTCAAACAGTCCAGTACCCTGTATATTATACCCCAATGTCTCTAAAAATGGTTACTGTTTTCTATGCAATTTCTTTAAATAGAGAAAATAATGTGACTATAATTAAAAAGGAATTAAACTAATGCATCTTCCTATTTATTATCCCTGTGAACATGTTCTTGCTGAGTTCGCAGGGAGCAGCTTTATGGAAATGAGGATTGTCCTTTCAGACTTGATCTGAATCAAAGCTTTTGTGTTAACTTTAAGCAAAGACAATGTTTTTTTTTTTATCCATTCTACAAAATGTTCAGAGATGAACCGCAGATGTATCATTATTTTCATAAAATAAGGTCAACAAGCTAACCCACTCTTAAGAGAAATCAATCAGAGTATAGAGATAGGAGAAAGAAAGTACAACCTTACTGCTTGTTGTGGATTTAAGCCAGGTTCTGATAATGAAATCGAATTAAAAGATTGATTGTCAGCAGGTGCGACCGCCTCTTTAAGAGGTGGAGTGTTTACTGGTTGATCTCTATACCAGAACGGAGGGACAGCTGGAATTGACTTTGAAGAAGCAAGCATTGATCAAGCTTATCAATCTAGTAAGACAAACAGTCCAATGTTTATTGTTATACCTGGAAAAAGAGATTTCACATCTTACTAGCAATTGACAACCTGCAAATTCACCCCCAAGATCAAACTTTTAATGCTTTAAATATTTCTAAGATAAATGTTTAGGATGATGAATGTTCATATTCAAGGCAGTATAAAAATATATAGAAAAGGGCTAAAAGTTTGGAAGCATGCAGCCTGGAAGCAGATTCACAATGTCATCAAGTAAACAACCTTCTTTTGGTAAATAAATGCAAAACAGGGAAGTGCATCATTAATCATCAATTGTCATGAAAAACAAAAATATTAAATGAGCATAAAACCTTGAAACATAAGTCAAACACCATGGCGTAGCCGTCCCAGCAGCAGAGATGGGAAGTAACGAAGTACAAATACTTTGTTACTGTACTCAAGTAGATTTTTCTGATATTTTTACTTTACTACTTATTTTTATGGCGACTTTTTACTTCTACTCCTTACATTTTTACACAAATATCTGTACTTTCTACTCCTTACATTTTAAAAATTGGCTCGTTACTTTAGTTTTGAATCATTTCAATGGAGTTACCGTTATTATTTTTCATGTCATCAATACCAAATTCAATCTAATTGGATGGGAATCTACGTTACATTTGACGCACCGCTACAAGATGAATCGACAGATTCGGCGGTATTCATTCGCGGCAAATCATTGCAGCTTGGTGGCGGTGGCCTTAGCATAGTAGCATGGACGACGAGATGATTGAAAATGAACACAATGGAGATCTAATCCTATTGGCAGACATCCATTTAAAATGTAGGCAACAGCATGAAAAAAGTGGTTTCTACTTTTACTTTTATACTTTAAGTAAATTTATAAGCCTGTACTTTGTTACTTTTACTTGAGTAAAGAAGTTTAATCAGTACTTCCACTTTTACCAGAGTATTTTTTAACACAAGTATCTGTACTTTTACTCAAGTACGGAAAGTGAGTACTTTTGCCATCTCTGCCCAGCAGTTTACTATGAGTTCTGTTAAACACTAAAGCAGTGAAGAGTCATGCCGATTAATCAGACAATCTTCCATCAACAATGAAGTATATTTATAACAGAAATAGTGAAATCAGAGTGGATAGGATATGTGTAAGTGCCATATTTTCGTAAAACTGGACGAAAAGAAACCATACTGTAGAGAAAAGTGGGACAAAAAACCTTCTAAAAAAGATACAATGGACAAAAAAATAACTCAGGAAACACTTCAAAACATTTGCTAGAAGTAGTTCTTTCTACAAGCTATCAATTAGAAGCGAGTTAGCCTGAACTTGTAAATAGGTTAGGGTCCTGGAGGCTTTCATGTTTCAGAGACAGAAATGATCCTGATCATCAATGCTGGAAATGTTGTACTCCCTAAAAGACCAATGTCACTGACCATCTAAGGTACCAGTCTATTAAGAGTTTACGTCTTCTGATTAACAGATGTGTTCTCAGACAGCACCCTTATAGTCCCTTAACTTTAACACAAAACACAAAGAATGGTTCA